TTTTATTTATATCTATGTATTATATTAAGAATAAATTTTTCACCCTCTCTTAATCAGAATAAGTGAAATTTCACTTAGTTGCTTCACAATATTATATATTTTAAAATATATGTAAGTGCAATATGCACTTATTCAGATATTTAGAGAGAAATCTGAAATTTTTTTTAACAAATTGCAATTGTAAGAAAATAATGAACAAGAAATTGAAAAAGTAAAAGCAAATTTTTTGCCACCATAGCTCTAAATTTGAATCAATGAGATTTCACATTGACGAAATAGTTGTAATTAAGCAACTGAATCATTTCAGTAAGATTTTCACTGAAAATCAGTAGAATTATTACTGGTTTAAACAGTTAAATCTGCATTATCATTAGTCGGTAAAACTGATTTGAATGTTTTAATTTTAAAAACAGATTTTTCTAACATTTAGAGTAACTTTTGCTTTTTTTACAAAACATTTATGCAACTAAAGAAACAAAATTTGCGACTTTGTAATATGATTGTCCATGTATGCATGAGAGGTGAAAAGAGCAAAAGAAAACTACAAGTTTTAGGAACGTGATTCGAAATTGGATTTGGAAATTCAATTCTTTGAGTTTGGAGAATCTCTTTTCCTTATACCTTACGTGTATGTTTATTTTTCCCATTGTTTTAGAAAACAAGGGACATGAATGCAGGAATAGACTTAGTCACTTTTTTCTATAAAAAAAAAATAAATGTGATAGGAGAGACATAAAGATCTACGATATGGAAAAAGATTACTCAAGTTGGATTCCAGTGACAAAGTTACATTTCAGAAATTTTTTACTTATATCTTTACTCTAATATATAAAAATTATTATTACTTTATCTTTATTCTTATAACTTTTGTTATTCCATTTAACCTTGATTTACTTTTTATATCAAACGATTAAAAAATTATATATTTAGTTTAAAATCAGTGTTTATAATAATAATCCGCTACAACTATATGAACTCGGGGTCATGAACATTTTCTAAACTTTTCTTTTCACTGTGTTGATAAAAATCCAAACTAAATTAAAAACAAATTTCACTTTTATTACGAAAATCAAGATCGAAAAAAAATATATATTATATATAGATCAAAAAGAAAGTAAAATGAAACTTGGAAAGTATTTTAATGACATACTCTTGTTAAATTTTGATTCGATTTAAATACCGGTAAATCTGAATGCGACTTAGGCACAAAGGATGATTTTATGTCCTACATAGAATTTACCGCTACGGAGCTACGATGGTGAAAGTGACTCTCCCACGCCATAACATCCTACTTCTAGCTGTAGTCTCTCTTGCCCCTCTTTATTCTCTCTCTCTCTCTCTCTCTCTCTCTCTATTTCTCGTTTCCTCATTTTTATATACAGAGGCCTCGAAAACACGACTAGACGATGTCTGACTAAAGTTTGATGCTTTCTTGAACCTTTTGACAACCATCTTTCTCGTTTGTTTTTAAGAAACGAACTCAATTTAATTATGCTTTGCGTATATACCAGAAGAATAGAAAGTGCGCGAGAACTCGACATTCATATTTTGTATATATATATAGATATACCTTTTCAAAACTCAGAGAGCGGTTAATTTTAATTATCCTATTAAAAAGAAAATTATTCCCATTGTGAACTAAGTTCAAGGATTTATACACGGAAAATTAGGAATTAGCTGCAGATACTAACTAATGAATTTTGCCAAAAAAATATATTTGCTACAACTGCTAAAAAATTAGTTAAAAATTTCTGTCTGTAACTAGAATTTTGACAAAAAAAATTGTTTTTCAAAATAATAGTAATGTTTGGTTAGTATATTAACACAAACTGATATCAGAAATTATAATTACTACACTGAGAAAAACAATTGGTTGGGATTACCATTTAGTTAGTAAGAATATTATTGCTAATTTATATTAGTTACTGTTACCATTTAGTTAGTCAGTCTAACCATTTCGTTAGTAAGGTAACTAATTAAATAGTTATTCCGAAAAACTAATTAGTTAAACCAACTAATAAAATAGTTATGCCAACCAAAAATAGTAACAACTAATAAATTAGCAGCAGTATAGTTTACTAACTAAAAATGGTAACCACAACCAATCTTTTCTCTCAGTGTATTACAATTATTATTAATAATTATCTTTTTTGTTAAAAATAAAATTGAATACAGCTGAGTTAATTTCAAGAAGTGATATATATTTGTAGGGTTCTAAAAATGTAAAAAAATGGGGGTTAAAATAAAATATATATATATATGATGAAGCATGCATGCATTGGTTACGCAAGAACGGTGGCGTGTGTGAGACTGCTGACCCACATACGGCCAGAGAGCAAGGACCCCAGTGCACCGAGTTATATACTTGCTCGGATCTCTTACGTGTGTATACAAATACTCTTTTATATATATACACACACACATACGAGCATCATTTGCAGCGGCGCACGCACGATGCACACAAACATGAGATTCGCAATATATGCAGTGGACTCTCTCGTTATTGGTAGAATTATACCGGCATACAAAAACACAAACGCCATCTGGATTCATATTACAACGCTTTGCGACTTTATACAAGCGATACGCGACTTTTAATATATATAATATTCCTTCTTCATTGTTGTTATTATAGTTTCTATTTACAAAATTTATTTATAGACAGTTAGTGTTTAGTATTTTTAAAAATTACAAATAAATCTTAAAATATTCTTATTTTAAGAATATATTTTTTTTAATTCTTTTCTTTTTGTAAGAATATCGCACGATCCTATTTATTTCCATTGATGTTAAATAAAAATATAATATAATTTAAAAATAAGAAGCAATTCTTAAGTTAAGAAATATTCTCATTTTAAGAATATGCTATTGAATCAATAATTCTTAAACCTTTGATAGAAATGCTATTGATTCAATAGCATTTTTTTCTCAGTGTAACTTATAAGATTATAGATTCTTAAATTTTTAAGCTATGTTATATTAATATTATTATTATTATTAAAAATCTTAATAAATATTATTTTAATATTTAATATTATTAGAATTTATTAATTTATAATAATTATATACAATTATTATATAATTATAATAATAATTGTAATATAATTTTATTATAAACAAAAAATTTTATTTGAGAAAAATGACAAAAGAATCACGAGAAAAAACAAATTTGACAAGAACGAAAGCAACCATTTTTTCGCCAAGCACAAATGTCTTGCCGGCTGACTAAAAATTTGGCACTACTACTGAAAAATCTACCAGTGATTATTGTCAATTGTTAGTGAGCCAAGACGCGGAAACATTAATTTCATCAGAAAACAAAACTTCGTAAATTGAAATTTATTATCGATTTTATCATTTTTTTTATATAAATATATGAAAAATCGATAAAAATTTTAATGTAAGAACACGTTTTTTTTTACCAAAATTATATTACAGACGCATTAAAAAGAAGAAATTTCTTTTTTATATACTGATATCAATGTACATATATATTATGTATAATAACTTCCATAAAAAAGTTGAATTAATCTTATGACAAGCACCTTTACGGCTAAATAAGTTGTTGAGAATATTTTCAAGTAGGATGACTCATATCTTCATCTTCTTTTTTTTTTAATGAGCCTAATAAAATGCGATAATGAAAATATCTTTATTCTCGTGTGTATGTGTGTGAGTGTATTTACATTAATCCTGAAAATGAGATATGCACTCTTGTCACCGTTATTTCAGTGGCAATGAATAGATAAATAACTCGTTATCAATGTCATAAAATATTAAAAACACAGTATTTAATTAAAAATACCAATAATATTAAATATAATAATTATTATTAATAATGATAATGCATAATTATTTTTCTATCTTTTTTAATTAATATTTTTTGTTTGACAAATTATGCCGAAAAATATATAAGTTTATAAAATACGTCTATGAACTTTGCTGTTTTGCATTTTTCTTTTCATGGATTTTGCGAAGGCCTTTACTGTTTATTCATTTGTAAGTTGACCCTGACTTGTAATTGAAGGAGCGAGTGCAAGAACCAATTAACACATTCTCAACACCAGTTTCTATAATGGCGCCTCTCAATTCTTAATGTTTATTCAAAAGTCACAATTTATTGTAATTTTAAATTTACACAACATGTGAGCGAAAAAATAAATTTCTACTTTAACATTCTTTCTGTGTTAAATAGTAACTTGATCAGCAATTTGATAAATTTTCTTTGAATTTATTATTACACTCAAACCTTGCTTAGTGAGATCTCGTTCGTTACTGTCTCACTTTCACCAGGTTCGACTGTTATACTTTCATACAATAACACTATTCCAGTTTTTTTAAATTACTTTATCAAAAATTAATTTTAAATTATTTTTTGTGATGGCAAAAATAAATGTTTTCGATATTAAAATACATAGGAAAATATTAATTTATATGACATCTATAATAAACCTATAATGGTGTCAGTAGTTCTATATGAATTTTATTGTTTTTCCTCTATAAAATGAAACTATGCAACGTGCAGTTCTAATTGTACGCCTCTGTTTAAAGAGGGGTTAATAGTGAACTATGCGTTCGCAGTAAATGTGAGTCTAGTACTTTCACATATTGAGAGTGACAACCTCCTCGTCGATATGCATACAACATATATGATGTCAACCAGGAGTCACACACAATGTCTAATAAACTCATTTTTTTCTTTTAATGTCTCAACGAGATAAAGTATCGCCTTCATGGTCGATTATAAGACCAATCTAGTTTTCTAAGAAATCCAGTTCGACTAGTAGGCAACCAATGTTTTACATTATTAAATATAATTTGTTTTAATATTATTTATTATAATGTTATGACAATAAAGTAAATTTAAACATCTATGAGGAAGAATTTATTTTATATTTTATCTATACTATAATGACGAGATCTGTTATTTCCTAGATTCTATATATAATGACACGAGAAAAAAGTGAAAATTTTACAGTATTTTCTCTTTCTGCTTTCAGGAATTATGACCCTTACGAGCAGCCCGTGTGAGCTAGACAACATGAGCTTGTTTCAAGACCTCAAGTTGAAAAGGAGAAAGGTCGACTCCCGATGTAGTAGCGACGGTGAGCACAAGATTTTCTATTTCTTATTTATATTAGTACCTTATTAATGTTGATTTATCAATTTTTGTTTAATAAAACATTTCTATCATAAACACTGAACATCTTATCTTTAAATTTGAATCAATTAGATTTCACTGATGAAATAGTTGAAATTTAGTGAAATCTCATTGATTTATAAATTTAGAAACTTGTTAATAATTATTAAGATTAATAAAAAATAATAAAGGGAGAGAAAATTTTTACACCCCTAAAAAATATTCCCTATTTAAAATTACGCAGAAAATTAACATTCTTGGAAGTTTTAATTTAAGTTAATAATTAATAATGCAATTTTTGAATTAATTATTGTTATTAACTTATTGGAAAAGGTTTTTTAATTATAAAATTCACTGATAATCAAACAGACAGTACGTTTAAATAAATACAGCAAATCTTTTCAATCTCCTCTGTCGTTTACTCAAGGAGAAAAGATCAATTTTTAGTCAGGCACGTGAAGAGTTCGAAGACTCAATTACTAAATCAAATTTCGATAAAGGAATTTTCATTCTATTCGAGTTTAATAAAGATAAATGTTCAATGAAATTAGTTTCACCAATCAATTAAAAGTTGTTAATTAATTAATTACATTTTTTTTGAGACGTTAGTGTAAAATTGAATAAAATTACGAACGTTTTTTTTTTGGCATTTTTTTACTAAACGGAGTTAAAAATATATAAATATTCTTCTATTTCTGCGAGCCTGGTGTCACTCGCGGTCGGTCGTGACAAGAGGAATTAACGATCGGCAAGTGCAACGACATTTCTAGAAGCACTACAACTGTTGCATTACGTTGACAATAGAGTTTGCACGTGATTGCAGCGCAAAATTTTATACAACGATGATAAATGAGCTTCGGCACGCTTCATGGATTTACCCCTAAGACATTTCGTGAGGTATGTGTGCCAATTCCGCACGAGCAATGACCTTTGATTGACAATTCACTTATATTAGTAAATGTTAATTATTATCTCAAAATACCATATGAAATTAAAGCCATCAATATAACTAGTTATCAAAAATTTATTATTTTTTCTATTTAAAAAAAAAAAAACTCAATGAAATGAAAACTCCGAATTTTTCGTCTTTTTTTATCCTGATAAAATCTTATGAGCGAAATTTAAAAAAATCAATTGCCAATATATCAGTGTTGTTTTCACTATATATTAATAGCTTTGAAACTAGTACCTAGGTACCTACAATCACGTCTCGGCCTTGTCAACTGCATTCCTTCCTTGACCTACACGAACAGTCATAATCTCACATCCTTTTTACAAGCGCAAGTTCTCCGAATGACTATATTATACTTTTGTATATTGTCACTTATATCGTCAATTACACGCTACTTATATATCTATACAAAAATACATAAAGACCTTCATAACGTCACAAATAGTCGTTCAGGAAACTAAAAAAAAAAAAGACAAAATAAAAAAAATTACCAAGCAAAAGTAGGAAATTTGTCTCGCGTAATAACAAATATCAAACAATTTTTAATGTAACAAATTATTATGATAATTTCCTGATTCAAGAAAAACATGTTTGCCATTGTCAAATCGATTATTAATATTTATAAATTAGACCGCAATCGAATTTTAAGTAGTGTATACGCTATTCATTTTGAGACCAGGCTTTTTCTGTGTTTTTTTCAAATACAGAACACAGAAAGTTATAAGGTATATAAGGCTGCAACGCTTATTATTTTAATCCAATTTTGCTTATTTTAATACCAAAATGTATTAAAATAAACAAAATTGGATTAAAATAATAAGCGTTGCAGCTTATTTTAATGCCTTTTAATTTTCTGTGAAATTATTCATCCAAATAGTGTTTATTTAATGTAAATAAAAATTATTTGTAAATATTTATTTAATAATAGCCGATTATTTGAATCAAATAAATTTTTTTAAGTGTGTAAATATATTATTGTGTAGAATTTTTATAGATTCTTTTTCTATTGATTGCCATCACAAACTAAAATAAAACAACTAAATTGCGTAGAAGAAAATAGCATCTTTAATAACTTCATCGAAGCATAATAGATATTGACTTTGAGCTCTTATTGTTTTCCTTCTCTCTTTCACTTTTCTTTTCTTTTTATTTTATTTTCTTAATGAGTCGACAAAAGCGTCAATTCTTGCGGGATGTACAGCATCGCGAGCAAAACAATAACAGTTCATCGCTTAGTTACTTATGATTAATAACATTTTCATATATGCATATGCGGAACTACTAGGACCGGGCACCGATTAAACACAAGCGAGTTCAAGATAGTTGCGCGATCATTGAACCGAATAATAATGTATTTAATGATCAAGTGTAAATTTTATTCGTCAGTTTTTTTTTCATCGATAAGAGTCACTCGCGATATTTATTGCACTGATTTTTGAAAAAAAAAAGTATGCCATAAATATACGAGGACTGTCGAAGAATTTTTTCCTCAAATTTTCTTATAGATTACAAATAATGTATTTTTTATTTAAAGATATAATTAATTTTGAATCATGTTATATCTTATTACTATGTTACTTGTTGCTATATCACGTTACTATCAAGAATTTTACTTGAAAGTATTTTAATTTCAATAATATTACTCTAATCTTACTTGAGAGGATTTTATTTCCAAGAATGTTACTTCCAAAAAAGGGTATTCTGAAACTAAATTTTTACATTTAGCTAAAGTCATGTCTTTTCACGACGTGAAAATAGATTCAAACATAACCTCAAAATTCAAGGTCATAGATTTACTAAACAGTGCAAAAAAGTATTCTTTTCTGCATAGTATACACAACAATTATAAAACAGTATGGAAAAGTTTACTTTTCTGAAGTTTAACATAATCAAAATGATTCATTTACTTTAAAGTTAAGTGACATTATTCTTGCAAGTTTTACACAAAAAAATTTATAGACTAGTAAAAAAAATGAATGTTAATCCTTTTCTCAGACTCCCCAGTATCCCTCGGATCAGCAGGCTCACCGCTCGGGATCCAGCCAGCGGACGCACCGTCACCCATAAACTTTCCTGCTCCAGGAGAAAGTGTGGCGGATACCTCGACTTCATCACCAGACGCTAACATGCCAGGCTCGCCGGGCTGCCCGGTGGTCAAAGTAAAATCCGAGTACCTGCGTAGTAGTCCAAGTCCCGGGACACCAGTTCGGGACACGATAAGAAGTTCCGTGATAAGCCAAGATCCAATAAGGGATCTTGGTTCAGATCGTGCATCGCCCGATTCTGTTTTTCCTGATGTGATCAGTTCACGTGTTGTTGCTGATGATCATCAACGATCATGTACACCAGCACCGGCGAGATCATCACCACAATCGCCAATTCAGGCCGTTTCAACAACACCAATGTCTCAAGAGGCAAGTAGCAGGAGCGAAAGTCCCGATCGAGGGAATCACCTCACGTCCGTTCAATCGAAAGAAGAATCGGATAATTCTGTATTCGATGGAGGTGGTCCTGGCGGTGGTCCAGGTGGTGGGAATAATCGAAACGATAACAACACCACAAATCAATCGTCACAAAGAAGCAGTCCCTCATCGCAATTCAATCCAAATATGAGTCCCAGAACCAATTCTTCCCATGGGAATCACATGCAGTCACCACCTCAGAGGCATCGGGCCCCAACGGTACCATCGCATATATTAGGTCATCATCAATTCTGGCCTCCAGGCACTGTTGGACAGAATTTCGCCACCCAGAGATTACTCAATGGTGTTATCAGCAGTGCCGTTAATTATGCGCAAAACCTTGCCGGATCCTCAAGCAATAATGGCTCTGGGGTTAATGTCACTACTGGAAATGGCTCCGGTTCAAGTGGCACCGCCAGTGGAAATGGCACTGGTTCCGCCGGATCCAACACTGGAGGTGCATGTAAGTTTCGTTTCAAACTAATATCTTTTCTTGAACAATAATCGCTAGCTTTTCATGACTAAAAATAATAACGGTCACAGTTATCGACTGATGGTAAAAAATAATGGCACCTAGGTTACCGACTATTATTTTAATTTCATTGTTTCTTAAAAAACGATCTGATAACAAAAATTCCTTTCAGGCGAAAGCATGAAACCACCGGCTCAGCGATCGGCTCCAGCAACTCCAAGACCACCACCCAGTGTAATAATGGGCGAAGTTGGTGGCGTAAGAACAATGATTTGGTCAGCGCCAGCATTGGATCCTGTTCCACCACCAGCAGCGTCATGGACGACGACAGCATCATCGGCTTCCTGTTCATCCACGGAGGAATCAGCGGCACAGTTGCTCTTGAATCTCGGTCAGGAATCCCGAGGGAAACCACCCGGCATCTCATACTCATCGGGTCCTCCATTAAATATGGAAAGGCTGTGGGCCGGTGATCTAACACAATTGCCGGCTGCTCAACAAATTCAGGCATTGAATTTAACGGCATCCGGCTCAAATCAACCGTGGGTGAGAAATGGAGGGGTTGTCAAGTCTGAGGTGGCGTCACAATCGTTATCTGTGGCACCACCTGCCCCACCATTACCACCACAAGAACACGAGGAGGACGAGACGCCTATGATTTGCATGATTTGTGAGGACAAGGCCACTGGACTTCATTATGGCATCATCACCTGCGAAGGGTGAGTTCTTTTTCTTTTCCGTCTTGTTTTATTCTGTTCCAGTTGATTTCCTTTTAATTTGGGATCAAATTTTGACCAAACTGAGTCCGAATCGTTGCGTATAAATACAAATTTCGTATCGTTCCTAATTCCGCCAAATTTCGGATTAAAATTTTTAAACGGACTAAATCCGGTATTTATTCTGTAATAAGTCAAATATTTTAACCAATACGGAAACTATAATAGCATTATATTTTCGATGCCGGATCGATAATGTCATAATTACTTTACCTGAAAACCCTGCAGGCAAAATTGATTATGACCTAAATTTCCACATAGAAAGTTGAAACTTTGACTCGAGCTTGTCAAAAATTTGATTATATAAATATTTAGGCATATATTTTTAAAGAATGATGAGTTACTATTGAAATGTAATTTTGCTCCGGTACTTTTTTTTTTCTCTTGAGAATGATGAATTCCACTTTAAGCTGATGATATTTATATACTATTTTTTGCTGCGCAGTAGCGGATTAAATTGATCTTTGAACTCTGACCTTCCGTTAAGTCCACACATGCACCTGCCGCGTCTTCCATTTATTCGAAAGTGTAGGCAGGTGTTCGATCCAGACACTTTTGGAATAATTCTTCTTTCTCAAGGAGAAAAAGAAATTGATTTCGGCTTTTTTTTTACTTTAATTCACATTGTTTGTATATTGAACAAATATTACTTTTTTTTGTTTTCTTCTGCTATACTTATTAATTTTTTTGTCTAAATTTTATATTTTAGTTGTAAGGGATTTTTCAAGAGGACAGTACAGAATAGGCGAGTTTACACTTGTGTGGCTGAAGGAGGCTGTGAGATTACAAAAGCGCAGAGAAATCGATGTCAATATTGTCGTTTCAAAAAATGCATCGAACAGGGTATGGTCCTTCAAGCAGTTCGCGAAGATCGAATGCCCGGTGGCAGAAATTCTGGCGCCGTCTACAATCTTTATAAGGTAATCATTTTTTATTTTTTTTTTGAAAATCTATTCACAAATTATCGAAAATTTTTTTGAATTTGAAAGAATTTTCATTTTGGGATAAAATTTATTGAGGGAAAAATTAATGTTTGTAGGTAAAGTACAAGAAACATAAGAAAACCACCAAATCGTCGGGAGTTGGGGGTGGAATGGGAGGAGGTGGAAACGTTAGTGGTGTAAATGGCTCGGGGACGTTGACTGGTAGCAAAGGAACCATGGGAACAACAATGTTGGAAAAACACATGGCTGCTGCAGCGGCTGCACATCACAGTCAACAACAGCAGCAGCAGCAGCAGCAACATACCCAGCTGGCAGGAAGTTTTCTCCATCATCACAGAATTTCATCCGGTGATTCTCACAACTCTCAACCTACCTCCAGCCATCCAAGCCACAATGTGCACTCGGGCCATCTTGTTAATGGAACCATTCTCAAAACGGCTCTCACCAATCCCTCCGAAGTAAGTCGGCAAATGGCTTCAAATAATTTTCTCTTTTCTCAAAAAAATATATATACCTAACACCTGAAACAATCCTTTAGGGAAGAATTTCAACTTGTTTGTAAAAATGTTTTTCTCCAATTTAAAATGGAATCTTTATTTTGTTTTTAAATTCCATTTCGTGATTGAAAGAAAATTTACATTTCGAAACGATATCTGAATTTTAGGAATATTGAAAATAATAAAAAAAAAAAAACACGTCGAGAATGTGTCGTGTTTTCATTGGGGGGGAAACCTGAAATGAATGAACTCTGAGAGCAATTTCACTTTCTTACGACTTGGCTTGCGCAAACCTCAAGGTTTCCCATATTACGAAAGAACGATAGATGCAAGGAGTGCTATATAGCTAAGTCAAAGGAGAGTTGATCGTCATTATGGATGACGCTTTGTGTTGTACTGTCGACCATTGTTTTTTGTCTGCGAATTATAACTGCAGATAGTTTCTCTCACGCGCAAAATGTCTTATCGTATCTCTTTCTCATCCTTTATCGCGAAGGTAATTTCCACAAATTAACTCTTTTTTTTATTCACTGATTAATGAAGGACGCATTGAGGAAAAATACAACTTACAATTTCATTATTCGAACTAAAAATTCTATAATAGAGGAAAAAAATTTATTTAATTTTAATTTTTTTCAAATAAAAAAAATTTGAGTTCATTTAAGGAAATGATAAATAAAGAAAATGATCGAATGACGAAAGTCATGTAAAATATGCACTCTATCGGTTTGTGTGAGTCTAGAGGCCATTGCCAAAAGTGAAAACGCACAGCTTGTGCAAGTGACTCGCAAAAATATTGCACACATTTTTGAAGAGAATGAATCAATAAAACAAATTTTTTTGATAAAATTTCACTAAATTGGAAAATAACTCAATATTGAGAAAATCATGAAAAAAAAGAGAAGAAACGAGAGAAGAGGATAATATTCTTTTTGTTGACTCTTCTCTTTCTGATATTTAAATGAAAAATAGGGAAAAATTCATTTTTTTGATTAACGGCCTCTCGCGATTATTGAATGTTTGAAAATCTCTCGAGGTGAAACACGGATAGGGGGGACAATAGAAAATCAGCGGCAACCGGTGCCAAGGACGGGCAGTTCTCGGACGTTTCGTAACTCGTGAAAGTCTGCACAAGGGACACTGACCTCACCCTCCTCCTCCTTCATCGAACACAACTGCCTCCTTCTTCTTCTTCTTCTTCTTCTACTTCTTCTTCTTCTTTATATTTTCTTCTTTCTAAAACGTCCCACGGTCGACGACGATCCATGTGCATAGACCTTTAAGATATATATCTCTCTCTTTCTTTTCTTTTATCTAAGAAAACTTTCCCCAAATGAATCTAGAAAAATCTTCTTCCTTATATTTCATGTAACCAACGTATCATGAAATCGTGAGTCGACCTCAAACATTCAGGGAAGTTCAAAAGGTCAGAGAAAGGTTCTCTAATCCAGAGCTCAACACAACACTTTCATCTTTGCCTCGCGGATTATTTAATTGTCTTATTTTAATAATTCGTTACTTATTGAAATAAAATAAATTACAATTTAAAAAGAATAATAAAGAGTCACTCCAACAAAAATCGGATTGCTTCATTATTTTAAAAGAAATTCCAGTTTCCTGTTTCATAAGTTATAATAGATTAGTTCTAATAGTATAGTAAAAATCCCAAATATATATAAAACACATTTTTGAAAAAAAGGTATTAATTATGTTGAATTAAATATAAATTTTTCAGAAAATTACTCCCTTTAAATATTTAAATCAAAGTTTTAATCATTTCATACAGTGGTAAATTAACTTTTTCATTTTCAAACATACAAATTTAATTTAATTTACATTCAAATTTTTGTTTAATATCAACATTGAAGTTAAATCAGTTTAAAGTTTGATCTAGATATTAAACAAAAATTGAATGTAAATTAGATTAAATTTGTATTATTTTAAGAATTTTTAAAATTATTAATGAAACGAAATCCCATGAAAATTTCACCGGGAATATAATTGTAAGTTTAATACGCTTTAAACTCAAAAGGTTTTTCATTTCTCCATATTTAAAAATGAAAAAGTCAATTCATCACTGTACGATAGGATAAAAACTGCGATTTAAATATTAGGTGAGTAATTTTTACTATACTACTAGAACTAACTTACTAAACTTTGAAAATTATTTTTAAAAAAATAAAAGTTATTTTAATTTATTAAAATTAGCAAAAAAAAATTTTTTTTTTTTATTTGTGAATAATTTATAAGTAATGAGGGAATTTTTTCTTAAGGTTGTGCATTTACGGCAGAGGCTAGATAATGCAGTTAGTAGTTCAAGGGATCGGGCATTTCCTTTGGACGCAACTCTCGCCATGATACAAACTCTTATAGACTGCGACGAGTTCCAAGATATCGCCACGATAAGGGTTAGTGAATTTATATGTACAAATTAATTATTTTTTTTTATGTTAATTGATTTTCATTTTATAATATTAATAATAAATTCTAATTTAATTTTCCAATTTTTCAGAACTTGGATGAGCTGCTGGACCATAAATCAGACTTAAGTGAGAAGCTGTGTCACATAGGAGACAGCATAGTGTACAAGTTGGTGCAATGGACCAAAAGGTTACCCTTCTACCTTGAGCTACCGGTAGATGTCCACACGAGGTTACTCACTCACAAGTGGCATGAACTTTTGGTGCTCACCACGTCGGCTTATCAAGCCATGCATGGTCAGCATCGTGTTTCCAACGCTGGTAACGATGGAACGGGAACTGATTTTATGCAAGAGGTAAAAAGAAAAATTAACCCTAAAAAATGCTTTGTAAATCAAACAAAAATATAATAAAAAATAATTATATTTTCGTTTGCGCTAAAATGAATTTTTTAGTTTGAGATTATGTTACAGTCACCTTTGCCTTTAAAAAAAAAATTACAAATTCTGCTAAATGAAAAAGGTATTTTTGGAAACATTTTTCCTAAATACGTAATTGTTTGTTTATTTAGGTGTCAAACAATATGTACACGTTACAAACGTGTCTCTCGAGCATGATGGGCCGAGAAATAACCATGGAACAATTACGGCAAGATGTGGGACTCATGGTGGAAAAAATCACATACGTCACGCACATGTTTAGGAGGGTGAAGCTGCGAATGGAGGAATATGTTTGTTTAAAAGTCATCGCAATGCTCTCGCAAGGTGAGAGTTTTAATTACCAAAATCTCAATCGCTAATATTAAACAATAAATAATATACTGTTACTAATAATTAATAAAACAATGATCTATTGGTTACGTTATATTTATTCATCATTAGTATTAATAAAATAATAATTAATCTCAATTACAATGAGATTAAAACCTAAATCAAAATCACGTTCTTGAATAACTAGAATTAGATACACGAGAAATGGAATTGTTTTAAAATTACATTTTTGTTATTGCATCGACTAATTCCCTTGGTATCATTTTACAGCACGAGGTGCTACGGTGGAATTGGAGCAAATTCAAGAGCGGTACGTGAACTGTTTGAAAAGTTTTCTTGAACACAGCGCACCGAATCAACCTGGCCGCTTCCAAGATCTTATTATCAGATTGCCAGAAGTAAATATCTTTGCTAATTTTCATGGATAATTAATCGAAAAAAAAATAATTTTATCCACAGTAAATGACTCAAAAATTGTGAATAATAAAAATTGTCTCCTTTCTTTCAAGGTTCAATCGGCCGCAACTTTACTCCTCGAAAGCAAAATGTTCTACGTTCCTTTTCTACTGAATTCAGCAACTCAAAGATAGTAAATAAAAAAAGTGAAAAACGAAGCTGACTACCTACAATTGTATACATATATAAATAGACAAGACGAAAGAATAAAAAATAATAGTGAACAAACAAACGAACTCACGTGCGTGAGGCAAGGGAAAGGCTTTGTTTGTGTATGTATAATAACTATAATATATATAAATATATAAATAATATAAATGTGTGTGTTCGTTGCGTTGTACAAAAGAAAAAAAAACCAAGTTTTTTTTTTTGAAAGAAGAGAGAAGACTTACACAATTAGAAAATGAAAAAGAAGCTGCCGAACGATAATAAAAAAAAAACGAGACGACGAGAGTGAAAGAGAAGATAGAGAGAAAGAGGATAATACTAGAAAGAAAGAGTTATATTAAAATAATGAAAAAAAAAGAAAAAAAAAACTCTAAAAAAGAAATCAATTGAGGACTGAACTTTTTTATCGAAACTAAAAGACTATATTAATAATATATATATTTCTGTACGCAGTCGCGCAACTACGTCATTGTGTGTTCACATTGCATAATCTGATTCGACGATAAGACTCTTGTACGCACGCTCATCATAAGTCACACACACATACACCACAATTTTATCCACCATATTAATTACCGCCTGCGAGAAATCAACATAGAAGAAGAAAGAAAAACCATCACAATTTTTTTTAGTCTATCAGCTCTTCAATGTCAACGTCCGACGCGCAATTATGGAAAAAAAAGGAAAGGAAACGACAGCTTACCATTGTGCATTTCTATAAATTGGCCCCCCTCCACCTCACCCGACGTTTTTTGAATCCTTCTCGACGCTCATCGACGTCTCAACGTGATTCTCATTATAAAAATCCTGTTACTACTACTTCTACTACACTTTTATCACTACTATTTAAAAAAAAAAAAAACTAGTACGATTACTAATATCCACCAGTTACCACTATTGCAATTGTCACAACGACAGTCGTTAAAACTCGTTACCGTAAAAAAAAAACAATGAAAATAATAGAACGGTGAGAGCATCAGAGAGAAGCATCAAGGTTTACTTTATAAAAATATTGTAAGCAGTCGATACCCCCCTCGACTTCAATTTAGCTTATTTTTTTGTAGCTAAAAAACGACTTTTTTTTAAAGAGCGGATAAAGATGTATTGTATTGAAATACCTTTTCGTTTAAGAGATAAGTTGTATAGACATTGGGACAAATTTTATTTAATTTAAAATAATAATTAATTAAAAATGAAAGATATGATATGAAAAGATATTAAAGGGGGAAAAATCAATGAAAACATAAATTTGGCAAATTAATTTTTTAAATTGTAAACTGCGAATTGAATAACTTATAAAGCAAAGTTTTTAACATAAAATTTTATGTTAAGATTTTTAAATTACTTTTTACGCTTTTCTCTTAAATGAAAAGGTAAAAATATCTCAATTTTTTTTGTATCGAGCCTGTCTTTAATTTTTCTGTTTGCAATATTTCATCTTTTTGTATACATCTCAAGCATTTTCAATAGCTTTAAAAAATATTTTCTCTCTCTTTATTTACACCGTTTGATTTTTTATTATATTTTCTGTGGAATTTAGAAGAAACAAATTTTTTCAACAATACAATTTTTTATCAACAATTATTAAATAACTTCTGAGAAATTCTAATATAATTTAAATTAAAAATTTTCTACATTACTACGTTATACTTTTAAAATTAAAAAAGAGCATTTTAAATTCAAATCCAGTTTTTCGGTACATGAAAAAAAATTTTCAATCTTTCTCGCAATATATACATTCACATAATAATAAAAATATTAATAATAATATTCCACAAATTGAAGCTAATGCAGAAATGTATTCAAAAAAAAGAGAAAACTGAAACATTAAAATACTCGAGATTCTCTTTCCTTTGTATAACACATTCCGACAGATCATAAAACAATCTAATTGAGAAAAAAGTAGAATTTTAAAAATCGTATTGATTTACTTACAATACTAAAAAGTGCAAAAAAAACATAATCAAGAAAATTATTCAACATTATCAATAATTATTAATTTGAAAAACAAATTTTAAGCTTTTTTTAAATACGATAAATTAATAAAATGAGAAGGAGAGGGGATTCTCGAAAAAAATGCGATCGGCTCAATTATTTAAGGTTCGAAGTGTTTATAAGTGTAAAATAATTACCAGTGGCTGACGCTAGTTAAGAAATTGTTCAATATATATATATATAAATATAAATATTTTTTTCTTTTAATTTTTTTTTCTCAAAGTTGCTCCACGTAGATGTATGTATGTGTAATACAAAAAAAAACACCGACACGAAATGGCATGATAAAATTCGTGAACGAAATCTTTTTTTATTTCGTACACGATTAAAAATTTTTTTTTTTCATTTCGTCTTGCCACCGTAGAATTTTATCGTAGTTATACGAGTACGGTCAAATAATAATACATAATATAATAATTAAAAAGTGTGCTTGCCAACTTCCTCAGTCGAGGATCTCAAAATTGAAAATCTAGTACCTTGAAAAAGTGCAATTTTATTTATATATAATGCATAATAACTAAATATATAAATAATATTATTAATAATAAGGAAAAAAAGAAGCTTTACTCCTTCGCACTTGATAATTGGCGTAAAAAAAACGATTCAGCATAATATTCATGTAGCTTTAAGTACTTGTTTTTATTTTTTAATTTATTTTTTATTTAATTTTTACTAAAAATTCTTCTTTGTTATTTAATCTTTTAAAGTAACCGAATTAACATTTCTATAATTACATTTCATTGAAATAAAAATTGATTAACAAAAATTATGCAAAAAAAGGTTAACAAAAATAAATTTAAAAAAAAATGATAGGCATAAAATTCAAAATCAGAAATACAAAAAGAATGAAAAAATTTAAATTTGTTATTATTTTAATCATAAAAAATTAGCAGCGAAAAAAAATTGTAAAAGTCCAAGAAAATGAGTCAAATATTCTATAATAAAAAAATCTAGAGTATTTAAATGCCTAATAATTAAAAAAAAATTCAAAGAGACAATGGAAAATTTGTGAAAAAAAAAGAAAAATCGATAAGTGAGTCTCTCGAAAGAGGAAAAAGGTTGAGCACAAAAAAAAACACGGAAATCAATATTTGGAACTATGAAAAACCTTAGGCCTAAATTGCGCCAAAAGGTAATAACACTTGTCCATACTTATAAGACTTAACTACTGATGGATACTTCATACGGTAAACTTGTATATTATTTGTTTGATAAGAGAATGACGGCAGGGTTTTTTTCACTAGCATTCCCAGACACCTTGATTTGCTCTTGTGTTCAATTAGATATTATATAGAAAAAAGGTGACTTAAATATTATTCATCAATCTCGAATTTATTATCCGATTTTTTTTTCATCTAAGTTTAATATTATAAATACATCGCGTTCACGTCGTCAATTCTATTATTATTATTATACAAATATATATGTGACGCGCGATTTTTTTACCAAAAGACTTTTTTAACGATTTTTTTCGTTTGCAAATACATACTGCCACAATTTATATAAATATTATTACATAGTAAATCTTTGTTAATAACATTTAAACTGCCTTTAGTATATATTCATTGTGTTCAATCTGACATTTTTGCTCACAATATTTTTGTCTTCTGTTGGAATTTGCAAAAAAGTTTCCATTAAAAAAAAAAAAAAACAAAAAATAATTTTGCCAAAATTTCTTAATCATTTATTTTTTATGATTGAAATAACATTATTGGTAAGCTTTTTCCGTCGGGAATAAAAACGTGAATATCAATGTGATGTATAAAAAAAATGATCTTGGTTAATCGATATATCGTTTTAACCAAGTCAAAAACACTGTCTTGCATAAATGTGCATGTGTATAAATATATATATAAATATATAAATATTATATATTACTAATAAGAAAAAAAAATATTAATAATATCCTAAATGACAGGTGTCTGGTAATGCGTGGTAATGCCTCGCGGGGAAGGGCTTAAAGCGTTGGATCAGCAAGACTTAGGGCATTATACTACTACCAAGAGTATTATCGTGCCCAACCTTTAATATTTAAGTGCGAGTGAGAGTATAATGAATAACAAAAAAAAAATAAAAAAATAAAGAAAAAAAAAAGAAAGAAAGTTGTCACTGACTCTCGTTTCTGGATTAAAACTTTGTACATAATAATTGTTGTCACAATTTTTTTTTTATAAATATTCAAAGTATACTAGTCTCATTTTTCACGCAATATTATTTTTATATTTAGAAGAAAAAAGGTTTTTTAAAAAAAGCACATGTAAAATTTTAAAAAACGCTTTATGTGTAAAAAGCTTTTGAACAAAATTCATTATTTTTTGTATTTTTATATAAACAATTGGAACTCTCGAATCGGACTTTAGTTTTTTTCAATTTAAACCTTTTTGAAAAAATGTATATATATTTATACCTGACATAATTGAAATTTAATAAAAAGAAAATTATTAATTAATTACATCGAAAATTAAATTAACCAAAAATTAAGTTAACTGGGAAATAAAAATAATTAAAAATTTAAAATAAATGTCAAGTAAATTAATTGAAAATAAAATAAACTGAAAACTAAATTTAACTATATAGAAATTAAAATATCGAAAAATTTAATTACTTTAAAAATTAATTATTAGATATTTAACAATAATAACAATAATTTACTCTAAATTATTAGCAAAAGAACTTTTCATTCAGAAAATATTAAAGTCCGATCCAAAAAGTCTTATTGTACTTTACACAAGACCTGAAACATAAAAATTAGCGATTGTATATAACGACTCGATGTAAATAAATTTAAAATAAGTTCGAATAAATGGAAAATTCGACGAATTTTTCGTTAGCAATCGCAAATTATAATTAGGATGAGTTTTTTAATAAATTATCTAATTTATATCGAATTTTTGAAATAAGGCGAGAACATAAAAGAAAGAAGAAAATAATAGAAAAGTCAGAATCCAGAAACGATGGACAGAAAAAAATGAGAGCCGCTGAAATCGGCTGTAATTTTTCATGGAGTGAGTCAAAGTTACCAATTTTTATCTACGTTTAGAAAATATACTTTTTATTGTCTCGTTTTACCGTCGACTATTCCTTTTGTAATTGAGATTGGGCACCACACGTGGGACGTTACTGTTGCTTAAAAAAAAAAAAAAGAAAAAAAAATCGAAAGCCAAGTGGGCCAAGAGCGCACAACGAATCATGCGAATATCGATTATATTTAAAAAAAATCGTTCCAATTCGTTTTTTAATAATTAATAATTCAAAGTCGTTTGAAAAAATATTTAACAACTTTTTCCCACGATAGATATTTTTTCATTCATACTTTAAACAAAAATAAATAAAATTTGTAGAGATGTTTTTTAAAATATTTTATGAAGAATATTTTCAGATAAAAAAAAGAGTTATATATATTATATATATATATATATTAGAAAAAAAGAAGAAACACTCTGATATTTTCAGAAGAATTTGTATATTATCAAAAATAATTGGCAAAAATTAAAATACGAGTTTAAAACTCGTATTCTCGTTGTTATTACAACGATAATATGATAATGAAAATAATAATAATAATGATAATAATAATAATTAAAAAGTATTTTCGAGCTTTTTTCTCTTTCTCAAGACACATATTTTTAAAGAAAATTAAGAAAAAAATTTTTTTTTTTATTTTATAGGGAAAATATTTTCTCTTGTTTCAGCATTTTTCTTCATAATGCATTTTTTTATTTGCATTTTTTTTGTCCCCCGCACGAGAGTAAAAATGGTAGTACACAGTATTATATATAAGTAAAAAGAATAACGAGAAAAACTTTCCGAAAAATATTATTGTCTTGAGAAAAAGAAAATTTCACGTTAAAAATAAAAAAATTTCTTTGTCAAGATTGCGTGCGCTCCATGAAAACAAAAATGTGTACATAGTTTAAAAAAATAATAATTTTCAGGAGAGGCGCAAAAGACAACTTATTCATTGAAATGTGCTTTGTATTGTTAAAAAAAAAAAATATTTCGATAAATAAGGGACTGAAATGGAAGTATTGACGATTTTTTTCTAATCGTCAAAAAATATAAATTACAGGGTGGAAAAAATGCGTGCAATCATGACGCACACGGCCATGGCCTACGATTTTTCCGTAGAAAAAAAAAAAAGAAAAAAGAAAGCCAGTAACATCCCACGATAGAGTGCGCGAGTCCCCTGTATTTTTATGAATAAATAAGATATTTTAAAAGAAAAGTAAATCTGAAGTCTGTTTGGAGATGCCTTTCATAGGGATTATAAATGTAGATAATATATTATACATAATGAACATAAATACACTATATATTATTATATATATATTATATATATATAAATACAAATAGTAAGAATTAAATAGAATTATTATATATATGACAAAGAATAATATTATTACGAGTAAATAAAGTGAATAACGATTAATAAATTTATGATTAAATCATTTTTTCCCCGTCCTTATCCTCATTACATTCTCTATGTGATGAGAAAGTATCGGATTTGTTCTTTATATTTTAAATTTTTTTATAAAATTAATTGCAACAATTAATTGTATATTTATGTTATTTAATAGAATTTATTAATAAATATTAAGGTAAATTTAATAATCTTGCAATAGTTCATTGTAACAAATATATATTATAAATTTATAAATGTATAAATTTACATAATACATAAAATTTTCAAACAATAAGTACTTTCGTGCTTTAAAATTATTTAATATTAATTATTAATATAATTAACTTAAATTTTATTTTATTAAAAAATTTAACATTTCATATAATTTTTCGATAAGGCATTTATCTTAGAAAAGAGTGAGTCTTTCTTCATATTCTTAATATATTATTCAATTAAAAAAATAACAATTATAAAATTGATTAGCAAAAGCACAATAATTATAAAATATATATTAAAAATAAAAAATAATAGACGTCTTTTGGCACTTTCTTAATTCTGAGAAAAGAACACATGTGCGTTAAAACACAAGAAAATATTAAAATTAATTCGGATGAGTTAATAATTATATTAATTTAATTAATATTATAATTAGTTATAAAATTATAATCAATTATAATGATTATTAATTCCTCTTTATTACTCGTGCCAAAAATCTTTCTAAAAGTTTAATTAAATTTTCAAGACCCTCCAAATAATTATTATCAAAATCATTATCTTCTGCATGAAAAACGTGAGTAAAATCAATCATATTAATTCGTACCCAATTTTGTTGGTCCTTTGATTTACCACAAAGTTCAGCGAGAATTGTCGCATAGTCTTCTTTAATTTCTTTAATGTCATTATCAAAGTTATGAGTATATGAATGTGTTCGAAAAAGTCTATTTGGCTCATGATATATAACAGGTTTTGTCACTGGCTCTTGTTGTTTTTCAATTTCTTTTTTCGTTATCTCATGGCTTGATAAACTTCTTTTTAATTTTTGAAATTTATCCAATGTTCTATTGTGAATTGCTCTTTTTAAAAATGTTGGCGATGCTGTTTTAAAAAAGCCTTTTATTCCGCCATTTTCTCCAATTGGCAATTGATTATGATCATCATCATTAGAATTCAATGGATGAGAAAATGTATTACTTCGATTTATCAATGTCAGTGATTCAGTTTGATGACCATTTAAACGTATTAATTGACGTAATTTCATTGCATCGTATGCTATTAACAATGAACTTGAATAGAAACGATATTTTTTTTGTGTTCGAAAAAATGCGAGTATTTTCCATAAAATGGAGAGAATTTTTAAAATTAAATCTCGATTTGGTAAATTGCCTGAGGAAATATTTAGAAACAATTCCAGTGCTGAAAAAAAATTATTCCATTTACTTTTAATTTTTTTTTACTACTGATGATTTTTTCAATTATATTTAATAAATCACTGTACCTTCGACAACCGACTTTTCATTTAATTGTTTACCGTAATCTTTGCCAAATTTTTTTAATTGAGCGTCAGATAAACGATAAACTTGAAATCCCGGTATACAAAATCCATAAGCACGTCTTGATTCTAGATATTTTTTTCCTTCGGCAAGTTTTTTTTCTTCCCCCGCAAGTGGATCCCAAGTTCTTTTTCCAATTTTAATGTCCATAACACAAGGTTCACTCATACCTTTCGTTATATCTCCCAATTCTAAAAATGTAGTTTCTAAAAAAATCAGATTCAATGTCAAATTTTCAATTTGAAAAATTATTTTTAAAAATCATCAACTAAAATTAAATTAAATATTTAATACCTTTTTCGCAAATTTTTAACTCCCTTGTTCCATAATAATTCGGAATAAATCGCAACAATTGCAATGAAATATCGTCGGTATCGTTTTGTAAATTTTCATAAAAATCAACTTCTCGCTTTCCAAGCAATGGTTTTGATACAGGTTTTAAAACTCTGCCATTGTCACTTTTTAACATGCCTACAATATAAATTAATCAAAATTATTTATCTCTTTAAAATAGTTTTAAACTTATCTCCATTTCTAGAAATATAATTATTAATTATTTAATTATTCATATAAAATTTTTAACTGACTTTTAAACTACTTTAAATAACCAAAGTTATTTTCAATTATACTAATTAATAAGACATTATTAACAGTACTTAATGTTAATGATAATTAAATTTTTACAATATTTCACTACTTACTATTGTTTAAAAATATTTTTTCTAACAAAAAAACTTGGAACACTCTCAAATTAAAATTTCATTCTTTTTAAAATCTTACATAATAAAACCCGACCTTCCAAAAAAAAGAATATAAAACAATGACTGAAAGTAGTTATCATTAAATATATTCAAAAGAGATAAACGTACTAATTGTATTTTTCTCCACGTCAAACGGATGTCCAGCCACTTGTGACTCCAAAATAGAAGTTCCTTCAGGTAATTCATATTTATTAAAAGTTACTGATTTACTAGAAATCATTTTATTCAATTACCACTTGTCATGTAAATATATAAAAAATTAGATATGAATTTAAGTATTTGATTATCAAACACTTTTATATAATATTCATATACATATATATATATATATATATATATATATATATATATATATCTGTATAAGATTATAAAAATACTTTTCTGACAGGATCAAAACATTTAAAAAAAATCATTTGTTTCCTCGTTTTTGAATTATTGTTAAATCATTTTCACGTTCATTTTAAAGTGTATAAAATTTAATACGATATCTTCAACACTAATCACTTGTTTAATTTACGAGTAATAAATAAAAGAACTAAACAAATAATTGAACAATAATAATGTCACTTTTCTCTTTTGGATGCGCAATTGAACCATGTGACTTAAATCAAGTGAATTTAGCCTATAAACTTGTAATTTCGATAATATATCGAAAATGACGTCTACTTGTCAAAATTCTTAGTCATAGACTTACGAAAATATAAGAAAGTAAACTCAATATTGAACATCAGTGCCATCTATATCACTATATTAAGGCCAGTACACAAGAGTTTTTTTTAAGTATGCAGTTAGCTTTCTGATTTTTTTTGTAAGTTTATGATTTTAAATTTTTATCCATGACGTCACAAAAATCGATAATTCTCGATATTGCCTTCGATTGTTAACAAACTTCGTGTTAGGTAAAAAAAAACAAAAAAAAATATATATATTCTCTAAGAGAAACCTTTGTTTATGTGTACTAAATATGTAAATAAGTAAGTAAATTAGCATGATAGACAAGAGTTAATGTTATCATTTTCTAAACATAATTTTTAAAAAATGTGAATCATATTGAGAGTTAAATAACAAAACTAATTGTTTTAGGTTAGGTATCAATGTTTTCCATAAAAACAAGCACATGTTCGATTGAGATATTAAAAACCTAAAAATTACATATTTCTAATCAAAAAATAACTTCATTTTAAGTAAATTTTAGCTGATAACAAAGTAAATAAAAAAAATGACAAAGTCAAAGAAAAATATAACCTCAATAGAGGATCAGGAAGAAATTGAAATTCCTTCAAAACGACAGAAATTACAGGAAAATAACACAGAGGAACTTGTTATTCAAGAGACAAAGAAGAAAAGAAAGAAGAGTGAAACCAAAATAACTGAAGAAATTTCAGGTAAAAAAAATTAAAATCTATTTTCTAGATTTTATTCCAAAGGAATCAAGTATAATTAAAATTTTAAATTATATTTAGTTTTATATTTAAATATTTATAAAAAAAAATCTAATTCTTTAGCGAACGTGGAAAATGGGAAAGAAGTTTTAAGTACTAAGAAAAAATCGAGAAAATCTATTGATGTTAGAGTCGAAGAGGAAAATAATCCTGACGAGAAAAAAATGAACAAAAATATCCAAGAGACAAATAATGAAGAAAAAGTTACTAAATCAGTCAAATCAAAAAAATACGAGATAACTGGAAAATCTTTAAGGACCAGTTTTCAACGTGAATATGCGTTTGATGAAGTTCGAACATTTGTCACCATGTGCAATGAAAATAAAAATTACGATTTAGCTGCCGATTATCTTGAAGAAGGTGGCAGTGTTCTTGAAATTCTTAAAACATTTGACACCACTGATAAAAAAAATATAAATAACATTACTACTTTATTCTCCGCTATTCATATTCTAACCATGAAGTAAGTTTAACTTCTAATTTAATTAAAATTTCAATTTTAATTAAAATGTAATTTTTAATTGAAATTGAAATTTTAGTTCTACCTGTTATTTTAAAATAATAAAAATGACATTTATTTTACAGAGTCTTGGGATTATATCCCGAAGGTTCAGAACAATATACAAAAACAGAAGAAATTTGTCGACGATTAATAAACACTCATACATCGTCAATGCAATCAATGCTTTCAAATCAAAGTAATGCAAAACAACGGAAAATAATATTAAAAATGCTCACAACAATGATAACACTCGGTGGTACTATTCCACGTGATATTTTAACAAATCTCTCGTTAAATTCACAAATTTTAGATGTAGTAACACGTCTCACAAAACCAAATGATCCAAATAATGTGAGAACATCATTTATTCACTTTATCCTCGCTTTTCTCGTCGATGGACGCAATAATACAATTAGATTACTTTTGGAAAAACGTGACTTACTGTCAAGTATTTTTCCCGATTTAATATACGATTCACACGATACAGTTCATTTAACATTGCAAACTGTAAAAAAATATGTTCTCGAAAATTCAACAATCAGTAAAACAATGAAACTTCATATTTTCACCACACAAGTTGTACAAGGTCTTGTGAATTTATATAATTGGAAGGGACCAACAAATTGGCCGGGACTAAAGAAGGAGAAAGAAAAAACTAAAATTGAAAAAATCGATCCCGAGGAAAAAGAGGTAAATATTTAAAGTCTCTCTTACTTATTTACACCCAGAATAATTTTTTATAAACAAATAAATATTTATTTGGCTCTGAGACAAATAATATGGATTTTTTTCTGTTTAGATTGCAGTTGAAGCTGTACACGAATTTCTTCTAATTCTCATGACATCAAAAAGATACGGAATTATATTTCAAGATAAGACTTTAGGCACTGGTCAGGGTAGAAAGAATAATCAATTAGTGAGCACAGTTTTAAGAAGTCTCGATCGTCCATGGGAATATGATAAACCTGGCGATTTAGTTGTTCAAATTTTAAGAGCTTGTCCGGATTTAATGAAATCACAACTTATTCTCACAGAACCATTCCTCTCGCCAAAAGTAACGATAAAGTGGATTAAATTAATGAAGTTTCTAAATCAGGTATTATTACATATAATTCACAAGATTATTAGCAAATAAATAAATAATAAAATTTATTCCCAAAATTTTAATTCAAATACTTTTTTTAGGTAATTAGTTCTTTAGACATTGAAAGATGTTTCCAGGATGCCAAAGAATTGTCAGATGTAAAAATTGAACAATTTGCAAATACTGTGATAAATTTAACGCTTCCAACTACAATTTTAAGAAAGGCAATTGCTCCGGCATTACTGCACAGTAACATTAGAGTACGACACGAATGTGTTTTACTATTCACGACAATGTTAAATCAAACAAAAAAATTATTAACACTAGCCGAAGATTCGCTTGATTGTAAAAAATTCAGGACGTTCAATAATCATTTGATAGAATACATGACGGATGTGAGTAAAGAGAATTTTTAAGTAAATAATTTTATTCACTTTAAAAAGATAATGATTTGTAAAAAAAAAAATAATTTTTACAGAATGCTCCAATTTTTGAAAGATGTTTGAGAGTATGGAAAAAAGCACTCGAACCCACTGAATCTGAAATAACTGAAGAACAAATTGAAATTCCTTCGATAGATGAAATTTTAGTATCGATTTTAAATTTATTGAAATCATTTCATGAAGCATTTCCAGCATTAGTTTATGTAAATGTAAAAGCCGATGTCAATTATGCAATGTTATTAAATGGACTCACAAATCCATTGGATATTGAAGAAAATTTACAAAGTGATATAAATATACTGGCTATTGATTTTCTTCTTTCTACAAATGCTTTCATGTTTACACCAGTCCAGGTAATTTAATTAAAAATAATTATAAAACTGTAGTAATAAAATTAAAACAATTTTTAAAAAAACGTCTAATTTTAAAAATTAGGAACTTTACGGACAGGCCCTTTTATTTTTGTTAATGGCCCTTGATGTGGAATCGCCATTATTTGATAAAGTGAAAAGTTCCATTATTAAATTACTTGAAGTGCCACGAGCATTTTATGAATGTGAAGATCAAATAGAAATTTGGCTAAACACTTTCCTTGGATTAAAGAATTTTGATGAACGACTCGAAATTTCCACGTGGTTCGTGAAAGTTGTTAATCGAATTTATAAAAATGTGGAAAAATATCATTTGGCCATAAAAACAGCAGAAGAAAGCTGCGGTATTGAAATTGAAAAATATATGAGCTTTTTCCAAGGTAAGTTATTGTTAAAATTTACAAAAAAATATATATATATAATTATAATAATAGTAATAAAAAACGATTATTTAATTTTTCAGAATTAAAAACAAAAGGAGCCTATTCCAAAACTGAAGACAGATTACAATATGTAACATCTTTGCCACTTGTTCTATGCTCAGCATTAGATTTATTAAAGAAGAAATCAACCGAAAATTTAATTCGTTTTATGAATGAAATTTTAGTTCACACAATTTATTATCAAGTGAAACCTGATCCGTTGATTTATTTAACAAAGGATATAAAGGAATTGAAATTGGAGCAGTATCTTTAAATTCAAAGTCTGATATCACATTTTTTTTATTATTATCCATATAGATATAAATTTATCAGATTTTTATAGATAAATGTTATCTATATCATTACATTTTTTTTTGTGATACAGGAGTAAGAGATTTTTTTAATTTTTATAAAATATAGCAAATATAATTGCAAAGCGTCAAAAAAAAAATGTACGTGCATGTAAACATGTTTCTAAACTATATAACCTATAATTTAAAAAGAGAATTGTAAAATATTCTTCAAGTTTGTAAATAAATATTCTATAAAATTAACAGCTTCTTTAAAAATATATATAAAAAACAAAAGAACCTAAACATTTAATTTTGCAAATTTATAATTCGCACGAGAGTCATTAATTTATTTTTTTTATACGGTTTTTAGTCATGGAAGGCAGCACAGCTTGATTCAATGAAACCTGTTAAAAAGTTATATTATTGTTTTTTTTTGTTCTATTTTCTAAATTTTTTTCGTAAACAAAATTATTAAAATTATAAATATTTAATATTAAATAAAATTATTAACGGCATTTTTTAACTATACATAAAAATATGTAAATTTTAATCATTTACGTTAATAATTTTATGAAATATTTTCAAAAAATTAATAATTACATTAACAGTAATGTTTTATTAGGAATTTTCAAATTAAGAGTTTCTAAAAATTTATAGTGCAAGTAATTTATGTGTTTTAAATAATTTTGACAGTGAGAGGAAAAAAAAATTGTTAGCAGAGCGTGGTTTCGATCCACGGACCTCTGGGTTATGGGCCCAGCACGCTTCCACTGCGCCACTCTGCTCTTGAAAATTTTCTTGCTATAAACATTGGCACTCCTACCGGCTTTTAAATCACACAAAAATAATTTTTATTTATTTATTAAAACCACAATTATCAAATTAATAAATAATAAACAAGAAAAAATTAATCCATTCATATTATGTTTTTTGTGTCAGCTATTATTTATAGCAAAAAAAATTTCCATTTTCAAGTAGAAAAACTAATATTTAATTTTAAATCATTATATTCATAATATTAAATTTAAAAAAAAAAATTATTCGTACCAATAGTTTCTTTTTAAATTTCAATTTCCTTGGAATATTTCGTGTCAAATGGAATCATTCCAATATCATTTATTGAACGATATTTGACATTTAAATTTTCCAAATTTTTCAACAATTCAAAGGAACTCTCACGAATAAAATTACTATTATTTTCCAATGATATATCCCAAATCTTTGGCATTGAATTATAACTCAATATTGATGTCGCACTGATTATATCCATTTTAATATTAGGTACTTCATTTACATTTTCTGGTAAGTCAATTGGTTTTTTTGGTTTCATATCTTCCTTTCTAATTAATTTCTCAGGAAGTTGAAGCGAAGGAATTGCGTCTGGTTTTAATCTTGGTTTCATACCGTGATACCATGAATCATCAGTAAAATGTAAATAACAAACAGCAAGACGTTTCTTTCGAATATATTCGTAAGTCATTTCCTTCAAGAAAGGACTTTTTACAGCCTTCATCCATTTTTTACCAACATATTTGTCTTTTGGAAAGCGATGCTTGGTAATACGTCGACCAGAATTACAATTTGGAACAACGCAACAGCCTGTTTTAATTTCTCTATTTTCTTTAAATGGTATTTTATTTTTTTTTAACTTTTCATTTTCCAAATGTTGTTTTCCATTTTTATATACTTTGGCACGTATTTTTAAAGCCATTGTTATTTCCTTACTTTTTTCGGCACGTTGAAATTCCTTACTTGCATATGATAAAATATTCTCCACTTGATTTTTATTATTTATCTCTTCAAAAAGATCATTTTTCCAAAAAGTATCTTGATTGTCCATTACTTCTTGATTTTCATATTCATTCTCATAACTTAGGGATATTGAATTGTCAATGAATTTTCTTTTTATTCCATGATTTAAATTATTTTTTACACCAATTTTTAAATCAATTTTTAATTCCTCGATTTTTTCAAATGGTAAATGAAGAGATGGAATTGCATCCCATTTTAATCGTGGACGTTGGGCCGTGATAAAAAAAGAATCCTTTGAAAAATGTAATTGACAAACACGATAAGTTTGAATTTCTTTTAATGAAAGAGTTTCTAAAAATGGATTTTTTACAGCATTTATCCATAACTGACATTGTTTACTATTCTTTGGAAACCTGTTGAGTTTTACCAATTTTCCTGAATTGCAATTTGGTACAATACACTGGGTTTTAAATTTTTTTGACATTGTTTTTTTGTGAAAAAAAATAGATTCAATTTTATAACACTTGACACTTTATTATAGCTTTATAAAAAGACTTGACTGTTAATTTAGGAAATTGAAGCGCGGTTTGGAAATAAACGTGAGGTCGTACACTATACACGTGATGCACGTGTTGAAGGTCGTCGAGAAATGCTCTACAGTACGTGTAGGTCAGGTTGGGTTGCGTCTGATTTTAAGGTTATGTTTGACGTGGCTGCTGTCAAAAACGTCAAAAATGAGAAACTGACATTTTCTATTGTAAACAGATTTTTTGTAAAAAGAGAATTGACTGTGATGATTTTTAGCATTAAGTATTAAAAAAAAAAATTCAGTTTTAATATATATTTCACAATGGATTTAGCAGTGACTGAAGAAAATTGCCCGGAAATATTGGAAAGACTTCAAGAAGCAGAGGTTAGAAGTTTGCATTTTTTGTATTATTTATAAATATTATTTTATATTAATGTTTCAAATATTCCCAGAAAGAGAAAGAATAAATTGAAATTAAATTTTTTTTCTAGGTAACAATTAACAAGCAATTGAATCACATTCTTTCGCGACACTATCATGTCGAGTCAAAATTGCAAAATATAAGCAAAGTTTTGCCTAATGTGGTTGTAATTCGAGCAGAGAGTGAAAAATTTCGCGATATGATTAATCACACTAATGACTTGGCTGAAAAAGTTAGTGCTAAAGTTCGACATTTGGATTTAGCTCGGGTAAGAAAAAAATTATCATTATGAAACAAATATTTTTGTTGTGTCATCATTTCTAAATACTGACTGTTTTATTTTCTTTTTGCCATTATGAAAAAAAAATATAGAGCAGAGTTTGCGAATGTCAAAGTCGAGTTAATGATATACTTGACTTGCAACTTTGTAGTCAGGGTGTGGCGACAGCTTTGAAAAATGAAGATTACGAACAAGGAGCAGCCCATGTTCATCGATATTTATCAATGGATCAAAAATTATTGGAAAGAACGGCAGAAGATGTTTCGGGAGATCGTACAACAATCACCAGTTCATTGGCAACTTTACAACAAGCCGCTCTTGAATTGAGAACAGTTGTCACACATAAATTCGACGAAGCTGTCAAATCCGAGGATTTGGCATCTGTTGAGAGATTTTTCAAAATTTTCCCTTTACTTGGAATGCATTCCGAGGGGCTTAAAAAATTTTGCCTTTATCTTTGCTCAAAGGTTCGTTCATTTTTTCGATAAAGTAAAGAGAAATATAATTTTGCAAAATTTCACTGAAAATATTTCAACTTTGATAATTTTGAGACTTAAAGAAAATATAGGAATGAAAATGATTTCCTTCTGTTTACAGCTTCAGGAAACTTCTCAAAAAAATTTGAAATCAGCTTTAGATATAAAAAATTCTGACAAAAGAGCTCCGGTAATATTTGCCGATACGATAACATTATTATTTGAGGGCATTGCAAGAATTGTGGAGATTCATCAACCGATTATTGAAACTTATTATGGACCTGGACGACTTTTTACTTCAATTACAATCTTGCAAAAAGAGTGCGACAGGTAAAAATGATATAGTTTCATTTGAAAAAGAAAATATATATCAAATTTTGATCTAAGACAAATTTTTTATCAATTTAGTAATAATTGAAATAAATTATCTGATTCGATTTCACCAGGCAAATTAAGAAGATTATTGCGGAATTTATGAAACATAGAAATATTTCTAAGAAGGTCCAAACGATAAATGATTATTTAAGAAAGCAGGGTGGAGAAAAAGCTGATCCTAAAGAATTGGATTTACTCCTAGGCGAGATAACAATAATGCACGCTCGATCTGAACTCTATATTCGATTTTTAAGAAGACGAATTAGCGTAAAAATAATTTTTTTTTTTTAATTTTAACTTTAGTTACAAAATATTTACAAAAATATGATCTAAATTTTTTTTTTAATTTATTTATTTTAATCATTTAAAATTAAATTTTTAATAAATTTTAAAAAATTGTTCAAAATTTACAGAGTGATTTAGAGATTAGTACAACAGATACAACTCAGCGAAAAGCATCGATTAATGATTTTGAAACATTTGTAAACAATTCGGAATTAGCGAGAAGTATGCAAGAATTATTGGGTGCTTATTTAGCATTGGAGAGATATTTTTTAGAAGAAAGCGTTAATAAAGCAATTGGAATGGATGTTCTCGATCAAGAACAGCAGACATCTAGTATGGTTGATGATGTCTTTTTTATAGTGAAGAAATGTGTGAGGTATGTCATAAAATTTTAAGTTTTTAATTTTAAAAAATTAAAAAAAAAAAATTGTTAATACATAGGCGAGCAATTTCGAGTTGGAGTATTGATGGAGTTTGTGCGGTAGTAAATATGGCTTGTGGAAATTTAGAGGGAGAATTTACAAGCAGATTAAGAAATCGTTTAAGACAAGGTTATCCAGCAGGATATTTAGATTTGGCTCAGGCATATAATGCTCTTCAAACGAGCTTTCAACACGGACGACTACAAACATCCGACACTGAACAAGGACGATTAATGTTCTTGGTAATTAATTTTTTTTATTAATACAATAAAAAAATAAATATTCAATTTTTCTATTTTTACTAATTTTTATCACTAAACAAAATTTAAAGAATTAATTTTTCTCATGTTTTCAATAAATTGTCTAGGCATATTTAAATAATACAGACGTGAGCATCGAGTATGTGGAGACACTGGGCAAAAGTTTGAACATGGAAATAAATCAGGCATTTTCGAATATGCAAGATAAGGAAAGAGGAAAAGTCGATAGTTGTTTGGCAGGTCTTAAAAGTGTAACTCACAGTTTAAGAGCTGTCATTGATTATGGATTACAGCAATTAAGAGCAAGTGCCGTGAAACCCCGTGTAACACCCTGGGTTGATGTTTTTCTTTCCATAAATCATCATATTAACGAAGTAACTAATCTAAATTCTCAAATATTTATGTATATCAATCTAAAATACTAAGTATTGAAATTTGAATAAAAATATCACTTATTTTTCAGGACGAATTACTTAGATACGAAACCGATGAACCTTTCGTTCAAACGCTCATTCAACATCTAGAAGGACTACTTCATGGATTTAAAGATATTCTAACAGCTTCTAATTATGATGCTTTAATTGGAATTCTCACTGCTGAAGTCACGGCACGTTTAGAAAAAGTGGTACTCAAATGCACTTTTAACAGAGTAAGTTTTGCAAAAAAATTTCTTCATTTCCAATTTTTATTTAAAAAAAAAATCAAAGTAATTTTTTTCAAACAAAATTTTTTAGGCTGGTGGACTAATTCTAGATAAGGAAATTAGATCACTAGCAAGCTATTTAGCATCGGCAACTTCATGGTCTGTTCGCGATAAATTTGCAAGATTAATGCAAATAGCGACAATTTTAAGTGTTGAAAAAGTTGAAGAATTGGCCGATTATTGTGGAGCTGATGCGATCGCATGGCGACTCACACCACAAGAAGTCAGAAAAATCGCTGGTCTCAGGATAGATCTCAAAAGCGAGGATATTAAAAGACTTAAACTTTAAGAAGAATAAGAAGAAGAAAAACGAATACCAATATCTTTTATCACTGTAAAAAATTTTAACACAAATAAAAAAATAGAATCTTATAAAAAGCATCAATAAGTGAAAATAATTACTTCCCTAGGCCAGCAAATGAGTTTTTTAAACGAAAATTGTAAAAATCTTAAACAAAATAACAAATGAAACGAAATTATTTTTTTTTTTTTTTGTAGAATTTGAAGAAAATAAATTTCCTGCAGGGATAGAAATTGATAAGAAAATCGCATAGAAGAAAAATGTAAAAATTTGAACAATCTATCATTTATAAGAATTTTTGTATATATTTAATTTCTATTACAGACTCACGCTATCTCTTTGTTTTCGCTTCAGGAAATTAATTTCTCTAACCCCCTAGACAACTATTTAGTATTGCGAGGGTGAGAGTCTCATTACAACATTCGCACGTTGCAGAACACTATACAATTCATTAGGGTGCCTCGATAAAAATTTATCATTATCTTAAATAACATCCCCATGCCAAAATGTGCATTCATTTTTCATATACAAATAATTAACCACAAGCGAACAATTCTTTTGCTAATTAAATTAATTAAAGATAATTTTTTTTGAAAACTTTTAATTTATAAAAATTGTCTTTCAACACATTTATTTGAATATAAGAACTTTTTTTTTTGATAAATTTTCGTGACACCATTAACGAAACAAAATAACGAACAACTGGTGTAAGCGAATATGTCATAAAACACGCAAAATAACCCTGAAATTCTGAAGAGAGGAGGGTTGAAATTGGCCAGCTGTGTCTTTGGCAACTTTGCCATATTCAGCACAGCAGGCACAACAATCAAATCATGCATTCTTCTTAACCATTTGACACTTCAATTTCAAACATATATATAGGAAACTCTTTTAGCCAAAAAGAGATTTATATGAGACATAATAAGAAAATAAATATTTTCCAATATATATTGACATATTCGATCAAATAAAATAAGAAAAAAAAAATCATTAATATTAAAATAATTTGCATGAAAAATGATTTACTAAAAATCAAAAATAAATAAATAATTTTTTACGTTAAATACACCAAGAACTTTGTCATTACGACTTTTAATTCTTTTGCGCGGGAACAAAGGGAATGACAAAACGGGGCAAGTGAATGCGACCCCGAGAGCTTTTAAAATGACCTTTTGCATTTCGCGAATCACAGAGCAGAAATAATGTATATAGATGAAAGCGAGAAGAGAACGACTTGTGTCCATGGAAAAAAAGGTAAAAAGTTAAAGCAGACGAATGTGTTCAGAAAAAAAATCCGTTTCGAGTTTACATGATCTTAAAAGATGACAGTACAAACTTGAGAAAAATATTTTTCAAATTTTGAAAAAGAAATAATTTTCAACTTGAAGAATTAAAAAGATCTATTCTAGAAGAATTTTCTATAAAAGTAAATCAATTTTTCTAATTTCTAAATAATTCTACCTAATTACCATAATTATTAATTAACAATACATATAAAATGTTAAAGAATTGAAAAAAACTTTTTTTTACTAGTAAGAATTTTTCTTTTTAATTTTAAACGTGGAAAGAAAATACTGAAATTTTGATCATTTTATGGGACATTGACTTCTTAATATGTATTTCGCAAACGTCTCATAAAGCAATCGTCTAAAACTAATATAATTACAGGGAGGAGATGAAAATTCAATCTCGTGTCGTGTCCTTCGTACGGTAGATTTATTCGTAATTAAGTCTACTGGATAATTACAACGGGTCAATCGAGCCAATCGGCTAAAACAGATATTCAACAGTAACGAAATACACACCCAAATGCATCGTGTTTGTTTATAACTATATACATATCAGTACACGACTAATTGGCGTTTAACTATTGTTTCCTAATTGGTTTCCGAAACACTATAAAATTTCATCTCTTAAATCAAATAGATTTTTTTTTCTTACATTTTTAAAAATAGGGATAATACACTTCAGGGACTTTATTATTGAACTAAAGCAGAGAATGTTAATAATAGAAAAAAAAAATTCCAAATATATCGAAATTAGAATGTGTAGTTAATAGTGTACCTAACAAACCCTCTAAATTTTATGACTGTTTACGTGACGTCCGCCCCCTCGACATCTGCATCGAGCACATGTGTGACTTTTATATACTTTTTTTCGTATTCCAAACCAGAAAATATATTTTTTCTCACTCATTTTTATTTTATTAGTTGCAACTGTCTATATAAAAACGTTGAATAAAAAAATACTTTTTTATTTTTAACGCGTCAAACGTCAGAAATATCGAAATTTGTCTTTGACAATAAAAAAATTCTATATTCATAAACTGAAAAAAATGTATTTGATTTCAATAATCGATTACTCAACTATTGTCAAATAAATATTCACTTGCAACTAATAATTTTATTTAAATCAAATAAAGTATAGTCAAACAAATAATTTTTATATATTTTTTTTTATTTTTATTTTTTATATATTGACTCAATAATAATTATTTAAATAAATAAATATTTACTTGATAATAGACAAGTAACCGATTATTTGAACCAAATAAAATTTTTTTTTCAGTATAGACATCAAATACAAATTGATATTGACGAGAGAAAAATAATTTCAATAATTAAATGTTTCCCGTTCAAGGAACTGAATTTAATTATTCAGATTCTCATGGTTAAATTTTGTACATATAATATAATATAATATAATTTATTATTATTTTATAATACTTAAATTCTTTAAATTTAACTCAAATGTACAGGTACTCAAATGTTTATATTATTATATTATTTTTGTATGTTTATTTCAATGTTAATGCTTTCTCCACGAGGAAGCAAATTTTTTTGCTAATCGTAAAGAGGAAGCAAAATGTTCATGTAATGAACATCTGAATTTACAATTTGTTTCTTAATATAATGGGGACAAAAAATTTCCATGTAGTAATTTATTAAGTAATAAATAATTTTATAAATAACGGTAACAAGGTCAACTATGGTAAACATTTTAACAATATTTCTGAAAAAAAAATGATTAATAAAATTGAAAAAATGAAAATATTTCTCACCACGATGATTTAAACTGAAAATAATGATCAATTAAACAAGTATAAAGAAAACAGTAAAATTTAAAACAACATAGTGACAATAAGATAATAAATGTTTTAAGAAAAATAGATTTTCACTGGTTTTCCAGTTACTTTTTTTACTTACTTTTTTTCCTATCCCCGATTTTCCTACCTATAGCTATATTTACAACGAAAAACAATTTACACCTATATACTACTGCGTAAAAACGAATCTTTCCCGATTTCCCTACCTATAGCTATATTTAAAACGAATTTAAAAAAGTATTTTTTAATTTTCCCGATTTCCCTATCTACGAATATAAATTTACCAGCCCAGGTGCAAATTATACCTACACTAGGGTTAACGTCCCGGGACGCAACCGTCACCTGAGCGGTCTTTATCTGAAAAGAAAAATTGAATTAATCATTTCATTAAAATTATCCAAAACTTTAAATTTCAAACTTTTAATTTATACAATTAAAAATAAAGCTTAATATACAGAACTAAAAAATCTATATTGTTAAGAAGATTAAAAATGTTACAAATCTAAATTTAATTATTATTTACTGTTTTATAAAGAAAGAAAATTGTTTTTACTCATATAAAAAATTGCAAAATGTTAAATATTGATCAAATTATACAGTATAAATGCTACATATATAAATAATAAAAAAAACATTGACAATAATATTAATTTACGTAGTAATAAAGGGTTATCCATAAAACATGTGATATTTCAGAGTGAGGGGAATACAACAATTGGGAGAGGGGCAAATTTTTAAAAATATTACATGCTCTTTAGATAACTCCTAAAAAAATACTACAAAATAATAAATTTTTGTCAATACTGTCACTATGTTGCCAGAATTCCTTCCCTGTTTTTAAACATTTTTAATAATAGAATTAAAAAAATTAAATTCTTAAATTAATATCCAAACAGATTTATTTTTAATTTATGAATTTATTGCAAACTGAATTTAAATAAACGAAAATGATTCTAAAATTGTATTAAACAGGGAAGGGGTTAAATTAAAAAACGACTCAACGATCGGCGATCCCACGTTGAAGCAATGACAACATTGCCCCTAGCTTGGCTTCTTCTTGGGCCACCCCCGAGATCCCTGTTTGTTTCATGCACTTCTGCACAGGTCGGGAGCTATGTGCCATGCAAAAAATAAAATAAAAAAAAAATAAACTACATATTTGGAAAAAAATGGCAACATACTGGGGCCACTTTTCTTCGTCCACATCCTTCCTGTCCTTCCAGATTGTTAAACTGAAAAATTAAAAAAAAATCATTTATACAATTGTTGGATATGCAACAAATGATAATTGGAATTTTAATAACTATTGAATGTGAATAATTATAAAAGAAATTACTAAACTAAATTACAAATCTTACGCAATTTTAAAATGAATTTTTAAAATATAAATATAAAATTAACAGCAATGAAAAAAAGACTCACCACTATTTATTTCTTCTTGGTGATTTAGAAATACGATGACAGCATATAATATCCTCTCTTTAAACAAATGATTCATCTCTCTCGTGGATCAACCTACAATAAACTGCGATTCAGCTTTGCCAGATTTCTTCTATAGGAGCAGCTCCAAAACCCATCCTTCATGAAATGAAGACACCTGTAAAGAGAAAAAATAAATAATTAATATAAATTTCTCTAATTAAAAAAAAATTTATCCTACAATTATATTGAGTTTCGCTATTCCAGATGAAACTTTTTTTCCGTGCACAAAACACCAAATATCGAAGGGTTTCGTGGCTTATTTATTAATTCTTTTGTCTTAAGTTTTATGATTTAAATTTCAATTACAGCTGAAGTCTTAGCCTGCTTGCACCACAATAGAATTTGGCTTAAGAATTAAAACTTAAAGCATAACACTAAAGGGGTAAGACATAAGACTTAAGGCATAATTTTTATGGCTTAATTCTTAAACCATGGTTTCGATTTTGGCCCACGAAACCCTAAAAAAATTAAAAAAAAGATTAAAATTTTTTTAAAGGAAACAGATAAGTAAATCATTTATGTTAATTCAATCAAAATTTTCATTGACTGAAACAAACTTCTCTTTCCATGTAATTAAAGTAAGTCCCATGTCAGCACAATTAGTCAAGATCAATTAATTCCAAAATGAGAAGCAATTAGTAATTAATTCAATTCTGCTTCCAGAAGAATTATCGGATTTTTTTTTTTTTTGAATGAAAAGAAACTTTTCAACCCTCCCTATTATTTCGCATGATTCTGATGAATATTGATTCGAGTGAACATACACACACTTGACAAAAGATTTTGACACCACGTGCTATAACTATAGTACTATATATTTTTTTCTTCGCACACACCCCACTGACGCACTCCACCAAACACTCACCACACACAGTAGTAGTCAGAAAGCGTCAGTCTCGCGCGTACATTCAACGTGGTTGGTTATGGCCGAGTGTACGTCATCGCCAACGACGCTGAGCGCGAAAAAATTGCTCATCAATACAAAATTATCATCGTCGACGTTAAATTGGCATCAACGTCTTTTTGGCAAACAATTAATTAGATGTAATCAAGTGAATCAGGAGGCAAAACAATGCGATGTTAATAGTGTTTTAGTAAATGATGATGGACAATCATTTTGCGATGTTATCGGTGTTTATTTTAGTTTTATTAATCCCGGTGCCACGTGCGATGATTTTACACGTCAATTGGCAGAACTTTATAATAGTGTAAATAGTGTAACAACTGATGAGAATTTGGAGATAATTAAGAGAAAGAGATTTGAAGTTGTTCATGTGGTACTTTGGAGTAATGTTGCTGACGTTCTTGATTTTGACGAAAGCTTCAGAAATCATATCACTGATCTGCCATGGCTTGCAGTTCCTAACAAAGACTACGAGAGGAAGGTAGAAATAATTTTTTTTTTCCATAAATTTCTAAACTGTTAAAATTTATACTATTTTCTGCAATAAATATACAGAAAGAAAATGCTGTATACAATAAACAATTTAAAAATTCTCGGGTTTTAAATTTTCTACATTATTTCAAAGCTGAATAAATCACAAACAATTCATAGTTATAGACCAAAAGAATTAGGAGTACATTTTTTGGTACATTGTTAATACAGATTTTTTTTAACATAGTACACTGTAAAAAAATTAGGGAGTTATCAGAACCGGGAGTTAAAAATCAACTCAAAAAGGGAGTTAATAATTAAACTGACTCTTTAAAACTAACTCCCTAAGCATAAAATTAACTCGTGAAGCATTAACTCCTTTCGCTTCAACTCCAAAAAGGGTGGGACTTTTATAGCATCCCCTAGGGAGTTAAAATTCAACTCCTTTTTTTTACAGTGTAGTTAAAAAAACAATTCCAAAGGGAGTAAACTTCACTACTCAGTAAATGTAAATTTTACCCTCTGGGTGTAAATAAACATAATAACATAAAAATTAACAGTTTCCTAAATGAACTGTAAAAGTTAGTGAAAAAAAAACTGATGCTACATAAAGAGGAGTATCCAAAACAAAGTTAAAAAAAAATTAATAAAAAATAGTAACATAAAGTTACGGAGATAATTCAATTTTTAAAACTTTCATACATGTATGAGTGATTCTATTATAATGAAATATATATAGTGATTATTATTTCACATCCTACATTAAAATTGACTTATAGGAGAAAATGCTTGTCTGGATTATTTATTGTCAGTGGATAATGCATATAATTTTCAAGGGAATTCTACACACAAGCGCATACGTGTCAATAAAGCTTTAATGCACTAATCCGATAAATTGGATATACCCACTGATAATAACTGAATGACGTATATAGCACCCCCTTTATTTCACTGTGAGTAAATCGAAGCAGACAAAACGAAGGTTCGTTTCCGGTTCGGTTTTTATCGGTGATGCTCGGTTCCGGTCTGTTCTTTTTCGCAATTTTACGGTCTGTTTTTTTTTTATTTTCTTTTTTCCCTGTTTTAAAAATCAAAATCAATCTATTTATTCATCAAAACTATAACCATTGACAATAACAACATAACAATACAAGCAATAAAAAATTTGAAATTGTTAAAATGTTATAACTTTACACTTATATTGAAATAATTTTAAAGTTTAAATTGCTTTTTTATATAAAGGTTAAAAAATATTGAATTGGATTAACTTTTATTGTTCGTCTGATTCTTATTTAATTTGAACTATAATTATTAGGCATCAATTAGATAATATAAAGGAAAATGAATGAAAATAATTGAGGTATTAATTTCTATATATGCCAAATGCTCTAGAAAGGATATATGAATTCATTTATTATACTCATTATGTTAATTATTATCAATGGCCAAGTTCAATAAGACCTATTGCGACCTATTGCGATGAGGGTTAACGGTCTTTTGATGAATGTACGTAAACCACAAACCACAGGCCATCGCATGTATAAAACTTTTGTACTTTGCCTATATACCTATATACATATACAAGAGGATATTGTGCATCATATACACATTCACATAGACATATTGACTTTCAATGTCTACGTATATGATTGCCAATTTCAGTTTATCGCTTTACTCGATGTACGTTCCCATATATAGATTAATTTTGAAACTTGTGACGGTCTTTTTTTCATCTCACGCATCCCCTTTGTTTCAAAACCACAGGTATATATAAATATATACATAGGAATATATGAAGCATTAAAATAGAATTTACAAAACTTTTGAATATATTTAAAATTATGCTATGAATGTGCGAAGCTTAAATTCTTTAAACAAACATCTGATAAATTAGTTTTAGTATAATTTTAAAATACTTATAATAATTTATACTATTCCGAATAGTTTTACAAAGTATAAAGTTAGTGGATAATTTATAGTTATAAAATTCGTCATTTGTTTAGAGCTTTTGTATATCCTTTAATAAATCTCTAGAGCTTAGCTTTGTGTATACATGTACAAATGCATTTTGTAAATTTTGCATATATCCGCTGGATTATACCTATTCAGTTTTCAAAGTTGAGCGAGAATTTTTCAAAGGTTTCTATATTTATACATTTACAAAGTTAGTACCTTTCTTTTTCTTTTTTATAGAACAGTAAAAATTTGCAGATTTTATACGATGCTTTTTAATATATGAAAAAAATACACCTTTCAGAAATGAAATGACATATAAAAAGCACGTTATACATATATAAAAATTTTACACTTGGAAACATTAGTTTCGCTTTCATCTTCGTAAATAACATTTTTAAAATTACTCTAGTAATGAGTGAAGGATGAAGTGGGGGGATATCATATATGTGAAAGAGCAACACATTAATCCAAAACATATTTTATACATGATCTACGAAAATTAATATACTATATATAGAAGCAACAGCCAATTGTTTCGATCAACAACAAAAAATAATCTGATAATCATATAGTTTAAATAATGAATATTGGTAGTTTTCATGAAATGAAATTTTACGAAAAATTCAAACAACCGTTTATTTTGCTTTAAATGGGTATGAGAAGAAGAAGAAGAAGAATAAAGACTAAATGCATCATTAGTGGATCAAAAAGATCTTTCACGCGACTGATGATTGATATCATTTTATACAAGTAAATTACAGTTGTCAGCTGATTTCTCTCTACCACCTTATATATACTTTGATAGCAAAAAATCGAATTCGTTCTGTACTCATATATACGATGTATTTTCCATTAATTGCTGACCCCGTTTAATTCAACCCTTAAAACCGTCTATTCGACTTGTATTTAATTAGAATTTTTTTATCACATCCAATTATTAATTAACAGGCAACCGTTGGTTACGCAGAAAATTAAACTACAACCCCTACTGCTCTTGACAATGTTGTAAAAAAGTAGAAAATATTTCACAGCTCTATAAAACTATAGTGCTTCTACAGCAGCTAACAGTAATTCTGATTCAGAGATTTTTTTTTCTTTCAATTTATTCTTTAACAGAAATTCTATTTAATTTTAGAGCTTATTCATGCGTCTCATGAAAAAAATATAGAAATGGAATCGTTTATATATATTTGAAGATAAAGATATGAAAATGTTCACATACCCGAGGAATTGGTAGATCCAATATCAGTTTCTTATATACAATATATATAAAAAGTATATTGAACTCGGGACTAAAGAGAATATATATATTGTGACAAATATATATATAGTCTACCTTTCGTGTTTCATAAAAATCGCTACAGTATAATTTCATTTTACAGTCTAGCAAGCAGTTCCTTTAAAGTGATTAACTTGCGCACCTTAATGTTGAAAATGATAAACGATCACGGAAAATTATCAAGTTCACGTTTGTACTAACTAATGATAGTAGACTGTAAATATATAGTTGTCTAATAAAAATTTGCGTTCAGTATTTTATGGAGAATGCGGATGAGCGCTAATTCGCTTTAATAGTTCTAACCATGACTAATATTACCTAGAATATATTACACCTATTATAATTATATATCACGAACTACCTCAAGAGACATATGTTAACGCTTTAATGTTTATGAATATACATATACTCTCTAAATGTGAATCAGCGATAAGTATACCACTGGTACCAATCAGCGTATATACGCTGAAAAATCAGTGAATTTTCACTAATTTATCAGTGCATA